GATAGAATATTCGCTCCTCTCTGTGAGGTGTCCAAGCTTTTTTGTCAGTTCTTTCGCTACGTTGTATGTTGGAGTCCCTGGTAAAGATGCGATTGGTTGGAGCGGTATGACAGGCTCGTGTATTTTTGGTCGTCCATAGAAGCGTGGGAGGATGGGTCCACTGCTTTTCACCCACCACTGTTCTTCTTTTGTGATCTGGCCTTTCTTGGTTAGGTCATTAAGGGTCTCTTGATCAGATTGTCTAGTTTCGGTATTGGGTTGGTGTTAACTGGGATGTGGGTTTCTTTGTCCTCTAATATTTTTTTGGCTTTTTGCAAGTATTGTGATTTATCCAACTGTGGTTCGGCCTTTGTCTGCTGGAAGGATGATGATGGTTTGGTCCTTCTTTAGGCTTTTGAGTGCTACTCTGTCAGCTTTGAGTTGGTGCTGATACTGTGTTCTTCTGATCTGTGGTAGGATTGTCTGCCTTATGTTTTCTTGGATCTCCGTGTTAAGTCCTGTGGCTTTAAATGCTGCTTCTGAGGCTGCACAGAATTCTAGCTGATTAGCATTGTCCATGTTATAGTTGAGGCCTTTCTGGAAGATATTGTGTTCTGCAGTGGATAGTGGGTGGCTGGATATGTTGATTACCCATGAAAGTGCCCCTTTGTTTCTGGGATTTAGTTTGAGCGGTTTAGTTCGAAGTTTTGTTTTTCTTTTCTCAGCTTGTCTTAGGGATGTGGGCTTGATGGTGGTTGTCAGTATATTTGGGTGCTCTGGAGCCATGGTTTGTTCCAATTGCTCCTTGAGGTTGTCTATGGTATGCTGGTATTTGTTGAGTCTGAGGTGTGCATCCATGATCATCAGTCGTATCATTTTATGGCTGCTTTGTTGTGCTATTTTCCATCCAGCTGTGCAGCTTATTGGAGGTTTGTATCTGACGCTGGTGGGCAGGGTATGCTGTCTTAGGCATCCATGGAGAAAGAATAGTTGTTCCTTGGTGGAGGTTTGCCTGCGTGCAAATTTCTCCCATCTGCATGCTTTCTGAAGCGTTTGACGCCCATTTGTGGTACCCATAGAAGAGAATATGTGTTGAACTGGCATCTAGCACTGAAGATGCTACCCAGCCGGATAACAAAACGTTTGCAAGAAAACAACCAAGCTCAGAGAACCCCAAGGACTCCACGGAGGGAGCATCTGTCTCAAAAGAAGGCTGAGACCTGCTTCGGTCTCCCAGCTGCGCAGGGCGGGGGTGAAGTCATTCCAAACCACCCCCTTCTTTTCAGGTGAGCAAAGACTACAAGGCTGCCCTGGGATCGCTGCATGTGCAGGACATTGAGGAGCTGCGGAGCTATCGCCAGCCCCCAGCTTTGGTGGTCCAGGTGACAGACACCCTCTGCCTGATGTTCCACGTGGAGCCAGGATGGGAGAGTGCCAAACTGCTGCTCAACAGGGAGGAGTTCTACCAGGTGAGGCCCACCTTGATTCCTCCATCGCGATCCACGCTGATCCTGCAAGCAGCCTGCTCCAAAGCTGCTGTGTAATACAGAGGTAGCCTATGTTTGGAAGAATACTGTCACAAAATATTGCTTGCCTTGTGCAGAGAAAGCAAACTGCAGTGGTATCAATCCAGAATTTTTATTTTTTAATTACTTGTTAGATTTATATTCTCTTTTTTCCTCTAGGAACTCCTTTTATTTTATATCCACAACAATCCAGTGAGATAGGCAGGGCTGAGAGAAAGCAAGTGGCCCAAAGTCACCCAGTGAGTTTCAGTGCCTAGGACTCCCCACTTCTCTTCTAACCCATCAACCACTAGACATACTGACTTTCAAATCAACAATCACAATAACCGAGCAGCACGAATATCAGAATCATAGAATGGTAGAGTTGGAAGGGATCTATTCCAACCTTCTGTTCAGTGCAGGATCCTCCATAGCATCTCTGACAGATGACCATCAAGCCTCTCTTTGGAGATCTCCCATGAAGGAGAAACTACTACGTTTGGCATCCTGTCCCACTGGCAGATACCTCGTTCCTCCTGGATCCGGCCCTGCCTTCCGGGGCAGCAGGGAGGGAACGAGCCACTTCCTTTCCTACGGGGCACCCCTTCAGCCACCTGCGGACCCCTCTCCTGTCTCCCCTCAGTTGGCTTTTCTGCGGGCCAGCCGCTAGACG